ATTATAGGACCTCACAACAGCCAGAACACCTTTTGATCCCTGTTTCTCTGCCTTTTCCAGCAGAATCAAAAGCACTGAGCCTCAAAGCCCCTCATGAACCCCAGGTCACTCAGGGCTGTGCACCAGCTCAAAACTGGAGCTCCTCAATATTTAAATTCCTTCCATAGCAGCTTCTTCCTGTGCAGAAAACTGCCCTGGCACATGAGGAACACAGCAGGTTAATCCAGCCCTGCCATGGGGATCCCATCTGCCCCAAAGCACATCCCAAACACTCATGGGACACCCCTGGGGACATCATTCTGGAGAAAGGAGTTTGTCAGTGCCTGCACTTTCTTGTCCAGTGAATCCACCCAGGGCAGTGTGCTTGAACAGCACCCCACAGTGGAGGCTGGAAACACCCAGCGAGCTCAGGGTGCTGTGAGGAAAGCTGAACTCTCCTCAGCCCCAGGGAGGCTGCAGGGTAACCTTGGGCTGAGACGAGACATCTGCACCAGTGAACTGTCAGGTGCCCTGAGCCAATTAATAAAGAATAAAATCTCCTGTGAGAGCCAGACCAGCATGGCAGGGGCATACACAGAGCTGAGCCCACAGTGTAACAACTGGACAATTAAAAAAGTCAATTTTGAAGGAAGCAAAGAAGGCCTGTGCACACAGAGACCAGGAACAGGCACCTGGATTTGGACCCATCACTGTGCTCAGTTCTGCTGTGATTTCAGACTCCCACCTATCACCAAACACAGTTGGATTTTACACCCTCCTCCTGTGGAACAGCTACAAGAGCTTGGCCAGAGCACCTTGAACTGACAGCCAGGAAGGCACCACTGTCACACAGGCTGGGAAAACCACCCTGGCAATCAGCCCTCCTCCTAAAGACTCACCCCACATAGCTCAGAGTATTTTTCCTCAGCTCTGAAATGCTGAAAACACCATTCTAAAACCAGATTTGTGCCTTGTTTAGAGCTCCACACAATTTTCCTCTCTGCCCTCATGGAGGTGTGCACAGCACAACACTGAAAGCCTCCAAGCCAAGCACCCAGAATCACTGCCATTAACACTCTGGCCTCCTGCCGTGAAGGATCAGGATTTGAAACAGTCCCCAAAAGGAAATTAAAAGGTGAGAAGGCAAAATGCACTCCTACCTGTGTAGCAAGCAGTGGTTATTTATTAGAAATAAAGAACACTTACTGTTAGTGAAAATCCTGTTATACCCCTGATCTTCTGCACACTCAGAGCTGGACTTGTCAGACTTCCAGAAATCATGAATGTTTGTATGTGGGTCACTTTCTGGGCTGTTCTTTCACCTCACAGCTCTGGAAACATGACTGGAGCTGTGGATTTCACAGGAGCCAGTCCCCAAAGGAAGTGTCTCTAAAGCACACTGCACAGGGCCTGCCTTCCTGCTGCCCCAGATCCAGCAATTCCTCTGGGCAATGGCAAACAAGAATCTCTAAGAGGGTTTTGCTGTTAAATCTTTTCTTCTTAAGAAGAGGAAGAGAAAATCTGCTTTGAGACAGTGGCACTGTGGGGAGTTCAAACCCAGGGGTCACAAAAGAGGCACAGTGACAACAAGCTTGGCTGGAGAGGAGATTTAATGCACAGCAAGGTTCCTTTTCCTCCAAAAAACAAACAAAAAATCCCCAAACAATCCATCACACCTGCAGGCCTGTTGTCCTTTCTGAGTTAGAATAAAAACCACACAGAAAATGTGTGCAGTGACTGAGAAACAGCCAGAAATGCAAAGCCCTGAGGAGGGGAATGTGAGGCTGCCTCCATTTCCTGCACACTGCCCTCAATATGGAGCAGCTCTGACAGAACCCAAACCCTCCACCCTCACAGGGGACGCCAGCACAGCTGCCCAGAGCTCCCTGCAAATAAGGGCTTTCAGATAAAACACATTTGGAAAAGCTTGAAAAGAACATTCCTTCCTCAGGTGTCACAAGTGCCCCAAAGTTAACAGATCTCCAAGATTCTGACTTTAAAATTTGAGCACAAATGGCTTCCTTTCCTTTTTCCTCTTTCCTCTCTCCTTTCCCCTTTCCTTTTTCCTATTTCCTTTCCTTTTCTTTTTCCTCTCCCCTTTCCTTTTTCCTCTTTCCTTTCCCCTTTCCTCTCTCCTTTCCTTTTTCCTCTCCCCCTTCCTTTTTCCTCTTTCCTCTCTCCTTTCCTTTCTCCTCTTTCCTTTCTCCTCTTTCCTTTCCTTTTCCCTTTCCCCTTTCCTTTTTCCTCTTTCCTTTCCTTTTTACCCTTTCCTTTCTCCTCTTTCCTTTCCTTTTTCCTCTTTCCTTTCCTTTTTACCCTTTCCTTTTTCCTCTCTCCTTTCCTTTTTACTTTCCTTTTTCCTCTCTCCTTTCCTTTTTCCTTTTTCCTCTCTCCTTTCCTTTTTCCTCTCTCCTTTCCTTTTTACCCTTTCCCCTTTCTTTTCCTTTCTCCTTTCCTTTTTCCAAGCACGACACTCTCAGGTTCAACTCAACAACTCCACTGCTGCTGTTTTAACCTCATAACATTTAAAATGGATTCTGGCACAGCTGCCTGCCCTGACAGCCACAGCAATAAGCTGAGAAGCAGAAATTAAAAACTTTATTAAAAGTTGATGTTGGAAAACTGAGCAGCTCCTGTTCCTACCTCTCTGCAGGGAGGGAAGTGTGTGGGGCACAGAGTGAAATCTGAAGCTCAGAAAGATTTTTTGCACCACTTTTTGAGGTGTTTTTTTGCAAAGTCTTTTTGAAGCCCATAGATATTCTGTGACAGGTCAGACCCAGGGAGGGAGCAGTGATCCCACTCTGAGTTTTGGGTTTGGGCAGCACTTGGCTCCAGTTTGTAGGAGGGTGCAGATCTGAGGCAGCTTTTTCTGCTGTCACCCTGACCAGGAATTGGCTCTGAGCAGGTCAGAGAAGGGAATCCCTGCCCTGGGAGCAGCAGCAGGGCAGAGCTGCAGCATTTCTGACTCAGCCCTGCCAGGCAGTGCCTGATTTGCAGCAGGAACTGCTCAGGCATTCCCAGCAGTGCTGGCACCTGAGTCAGGCTCAGCCTCCCCATGGATCACCTGGGAGTGCCTGGGCTGGGGCAGAGGGGGGACAGGGGCAGGAAATGACAGAATGGCTTTGGTGGCAGCACCAGCTCCCATCAGCTGCAGGCTGAGCCCAGACTGATCACAGAGCACACTGGCCCAACCCCTGCACCCAGAACAGCCCAAAATCCCTCCACCAGGAGAAAAACCATCCCCAAACCAAGATCATCCTTACTGGGAAATAAATAACACCAAAAAAGACAGAAGCAGCAGACTTTGTCAATAAAAATAAATGTAGATGCACTGTTAAATGCTAAAGAGCATTTTGTGAATCCCACTGGCAGCTCCCACAACGTTCATCACACCCAACCCCAGTGTGGACAGCAGGAATCAGGATGGGTGACACTGCTTTGGAAAAGAAGTGAAAATTAAAAATGCCACAGGTTTCAGAGGCATTCCCAGCACAGCCACTTCCCAACGAGTCAGATACAATATTTGCTTTATCAAACAATCTGCTGAGAGAACAGCAGCAGCTTCAAAGAGCAAAACAAAATTGTCTCAGCAGCACTAAAATGGTTCTTCCTTTGCCACAGGTGTGGGAACACCAATTAGAGCAGTTTATATCATGTAAAATAATTACTTTGTAGTAATATTTTAGCAAAAGAAAACCTTCTGCTTTAAAAGCCTGGTCCCTGTCAGGGCTGCTGAGGGGGGTGAGGCTGCTCAGCTTTATCAGATTTATCTTATAAATGCTCAGCTTTATCTGGTAAATGAGCTCACACGTTAATTATTACACTCTGGGACACACCCAGCAGTGGCTTTGGGTTTTTTTTTTGGTTTGTTTTCTTTTTCACCTCACTTGGATAATCTGGAAGCACACCAAGCTCTAGTGCTCCCAAAATGCTCCCATAAAGACTTCTGAGGATCCTAACCTGGACTAAGAGGAGTTTGTGGCAGATTAAAAGAAATTAATTACAAGAATTAATTAGATTAAAATAATTTAGGACGAATCTACAGTGAAAAGAGAGTCCATCCAGCAGGTTCATAACAACTCAATGGGAGAGGAGAGGAACAGAAATGCAAAAGTGGCTGAGGATCCTTTGGGACAGGGCACAGACCTCCAGGATGGTAAAATCTAAAATATTGGCAGGTGCAGAAAGCTCCCACGATGCCAAAAGCCAAATGAAACTGTAGGTTGGTAGAAAAAAAAAGCAATGAGCTTGAAGGAATGCAAAATTTGTGTTGAGCACTGCAAGGGGGAAAAGCATCTGTGCTCACAGTGAGAACATCAGCAAAGGAGGACACTGGGAACTGGCAGAACAGAGAGGGGAACAGGATCCATCTAAAGGAGTCTGGTCTGAGGGAGGTGCAGGTGTTTGCTGCCTCTGTGGCTGCGAGTTAAACACCAGAGGGGAAGGAAAGGTGGCCAAGGGTCGGGAGCTCAGCACGATCACCCAGAACGGGCGGGAGCTGCTGGAACACCACAGAATGGGGATAAAGCAGCGGGCACGGGGCAGGCCGAGCTCAGACTCGGTATCACCGGTACCACAATTAAACACTCACACAGCGAGATACAGAAATAAACATTCACACAGCGGGATACAGAAACAATCTGATGCCGGTGACCAAGAGCAAATTGTCCACGACTCATTTTAGCTCCTGCCTGGGCACAGCAGTGCCGGTGGGCTCCACACACACCCAACAAACCAACCGGGGCAAGGCCGGGAGCTCCGTTCCGCCGCGGGGAGCACCGGGCCCGGGACACCCGGCCGAGAAGGATGGACATGGACACGGACAGGCGGCAGCAATGGCACCGACTCTCCGTTACCGGGACGGACGGGAGCGCATCCCCAGCGCCCCGCACCCGACGGGCGGGGGGGCCGGGTTGCCATGGCGACTGCGCCGGGCCCGGCCCGTCCCGGGAGAAATGGCCATGACAACGCCAGCCCCCTTCCCCAGCACAGAGACGCCCCCCAGACCGCTCCCCGCTGACCTGGGAGGGGCGGCGGACGCGCCCTCAGCACATCCCGGGCGGCGGAACCGGACGGAGAGCGGTGGGCACGGACACCGGCGGCACTTCCTCAACCGGGCACCGCGCAGTAACGCGCCTCCCCATTGGCTGGCTGCGGGACGCGTGACCGCGGGCACTGCGCATGCGCAAAGAGGCGCGCAGGTCTCCTGAGGCCACGTGGGCGGCGCCGAGCGGGGAACGGGGTCGGGAATTGAGGGAGGGGTGATTAAAGGAGCGTCCTCAAAATCCCCTCAAGGACCCCTAAAATCCCCCTCGGAACCCACAAAATTCAGCCCGGGATCCCCAAAATCCCCTCAAGGACCCCCAAAATCCAACCCGGGATCCACAAAATCCCCTCAGGGACGCCCAAACTTCACTCAGAAGCCCGAAAATCAACACCGGGACCCCCAAAATCCCCCCTGGTACCCCCAAAACTCCACTCGAGACCCCCAAAATCTGCTCAAGGACCCCCAAAATTCCCCTCCGGGACCCACAAAATCCAACCCGGGGTCCCCTAAATCCCTTCAGAGACACCCAAAATTCGCTCAGAACCCCCAAATTCCAACCCAAGACCCCCAAAATCCCCTCAGAACCCCAAAAATCCCACACGGGACTCCCAAATCCCTCCGGGACCCCCAAATTCACCCCAGGACCCCTAAAATCCCCCCTGGGACCCCTAAAATCCATCTGAGACCCCCAAAGTCCCCTCAGGGACACCCAAAATTCTCTCAGAACCCTCAAAATCCCCTCAGGAACCCCCAAAATCGACCCTGGGACCCACAAAATCCGCTCAGGGACACGCAAAATTCGCTCAGAACCCCAAAAACCCAACCCAGGAACCCCAAAATCCCCCCGGGACCCTCAAAATCCCCCCTGGGACCCCAAAAACTCCACTCGGGACCCCCAAAATCCCCTCAGGGACCCCCAAAAATCCCCCTCGGGAGCCCAAAAAATCTGCCTGAGACCCCTAAAATCCCACCTGAGACCCCCAAAACCCATCAGGGACCCCCCATATCTCCTCACAGACCCTTCAGGAGGATTCAAGAACCCCAAAATCCCCTCAGGATCCCCGAAATCAATGCCAGAACCCCCAAAATCCTCCCTGGGACCCCAAAACTCCACTCGGGACCCCCAAAATCCACCTGGGACCCCCGCGATCTCCTCACAGACTCTTCAGGAGGATCTGAGACCCCCAAAAATCCCCCTCAGGAGCCCAAAAAATCTGCCTGAGACCCCTAAAATCCCACCTGAGACCCCCAAAACCCATCAGGGACCCCCCATATCTCCTCACAGACCCTTCAGGAGGATTCAAGAACCCCAAAATCCCCTCAGGGACCCCCAAAAATCCCCTCAGGCACTTGGGAAACAGGAGGTGGCCCCTGGGTCACTTGGCTGGAAGTTTCCCTCAGCCCTTCAAAGGGATGGGAGGCAGGAGAACTGTCACAGTGTAAGGACTTGGTGCCATTCATGGTTCTAGTCCTGAAATCAGAAGTTCTGAAGGGTTTTTCCTTGTTGTTGAATTCAATTTTAAACAATTCTAATTCTTAAAAAAAGAAGGCAGATTTTTTGATGCTTCTTAAATTGTTTCCTTTAATAGGAAGTGCTGCTTTACTCTACCTTGTGCTTCAGAAACAAGCGTTTGCCTTCCAAAAATATACAGTGTACACATCCTCTGTAGCTATAGATACAAACATTTACAAAGAAACAAGCAGGCTGGAGTGGGGAAAAAAAAAAATAAATCACAGAAGGCCTTCCCAGAGCCAGAGCAGCCGGGCTCACCCTGCTGTAAACAGCTCCGGGCTGCTGCAAAAACATCAGAAAAAGTTCCATACCCCGCAGAGGTTTGGGAACATCAGAAAAAGTTCCATACCCTGCAGAGGTTTAGGAACACCAGAAAAGCTTCCCCAGCCCGCAGAGGTTTGGATGGAGGAATTGATGTTGTCCATGCCCTCCTTTTGTCCCGGGATGCGCACCCGGCCCAGCGCTGCCCGGGGCCGCGGGCGGAGCTCGGCTCTGCTGCTCCCCAGAGCAAAAGGCGCTTCCCAGGCATTTGGGTTTTGTCTCCGGGGCTTCCTGGCACTCAGGGCTAGCGGATGGGCCGGTAGGGGAAGGCGACGCCCGGGATGAAGGTCTGCACGGGGTGCGCGGGCAGCGCGGGGTAGCCCAGGGGAGGGGTGTGGATGTGCGGGTAGAAGCCGGGAGGCAGAGCCCCGTGTGTCGGCTGCTGCACCGGGCCCGAAATCACCAGCTGGAGGAGGCTGTGGGGAGAAATTCACACAGGAGAGACGTGATTAGAGCAGCTTTTGGTGTGGTTCTGAGGATAATTCACATCCAACTCACAGTGCTGCTGTGAGAAGTGCATATTGTATGGCACTGTGCAGATATTTACCATGTGTATTTTGATGTATTGATTAGTAGATCATATTATTAACATCTTAATAATATGATAAATGTAGTCTTGTAGTTAAAAGGTAACTTTTGTAGTTAAAATAAGAACTATGTTAGTGGGATTTTTTTAAGAAAAGAATGAGGCACTTGCACCAGATAGCAGCCACAGGACTTCTAAATCTTTCAGAGAAAAAGAATTTATTGCCCCATTATCAGAAGAAACGAACTTCTACCTGCCTCGAAGGTGCTGCTAGGATTCAGAGGAAGAAGTTGACACAGAACATAATCCTGTGTTTGAATGGAATTTATGCATCATGTATGAAGTGTATGAATATGCAACAGGCTGTTGCTTTTAAGGGTTAATCCTTTGTTAATGTGTGTCCTTTTCGGGCTCCTGCTGCCCTGGATGTCCATAACTCTTTGTCTTTATTGTCTCCTATTGTCCTAATTCAAATGGTCCAAATTATTATTACTCTAATTGTACTACTATTTTTATAACCATCTTATTACTATTAAACTTCTAAAATTTTAAAAACAAGTGATTGATGTTTCTCACAGCTGCTGAGCACCAGGAGAACAGTGACACAATTCTGTTCTTTACAGCTGCCAGGAGACTTTTTCCCCTTTCCCCACCCTTTTTTTAAGCCCCAGAGACAAAAGGTAAGAAGCAATTGCAAAGCTAGAAGCAACTGCAAAGGCAAGAAGCAAAGGCAAGAGCTCAGAGTCAGGTAAAATCAGTGGAGAATTAAAGATGGGACAGTTTAGGGCAGGTTCCTTGCTGGAATTTCATTTCCCTTTCCTGTGCCTTTGTTCTAACACACACTGAAGCCCCTTTCTGTCAGGAATCCAGGGAGGAAGCAGCCAGCACTGTGTCACCTCTATCCCTGTGCTAAAGTGCACATAAATAAAGGCCAAATTCCACAGGGACACATTTTTAGAGATTTTGTCTCAGCAGCCTTTGAGTGTCTTGGAACATGAATCAAAGCCAACACAGCTGTAAAAAGTCTCTTACTTGTTATGTGGTAGCCTGGAGCACACAGTCCTCAAGTCATCTGAAAGAGGACACAAGATTGACAATAAGGATAAAGCAGAAATTAGAGTGGTTTTCCTCTCTGCTGTCCTTTCTAGGAAGGTCAGATTACTGAATTATCATTAATTTTACTGATTAATTTCTGATTACTTAATCTGTCAGTAACCTGTCATCATCATCAGTCACCAAGAGATCCAAAATCACTCTCTCAGGCCCAAAACCTTCATAGGAGAGAAAATATTTCTCCATTTCACCAACTCTCCCCACCAGCCCCTTCACTGTTATATATGTTTGATATTTAAGAGAGATGAGCCTTAGGATGGATTTTGCAATACCAATACATCAACAAGAACTGAGACATAGGAAGCACAAGGTGTGACTCTGCCCAGTACCTGTTTTGTACTGGTTTTGGGTTTTTAACCAAAACCAGTACAATGGGTTGGGGTTTTCTTGCTGGAATCTATCAACTAAAAATTGCACTTTTATCACCTCCAAATTTCTGCTAAAGCAGAATAGCTAGAACTAAGGAATTTAACAACATATCCCATTGATAAAGTGTTTTCAGGAATAGCTTAAGAACAAACCCCTGCCTTTGTAGACACACACAGCCCCAAAACACTGAAATATCTGAACCCCAAACACTGAAATATCTGGTATTTCAGCAGCCCCTTACACTGAATTACCTTCCACAGAAAGAGCAAGTGCTCAGAATGTTCCAGCTAAGAACAAACACAGCAGAAATCAGCCCTCAGATCAAAACCCTCTGATTGTTGTTTGTTCTTATAACACTCAGAGTTACTTTATAAAAGATGAGGAGGAAGAACAGTGAAATTGGACCAGCAGCACTGGTTCAGCCCAGGACAAAAGCATCAGATCCCTGTTTGGCAGAGGCAGTTGTGGTCTGTACTTAATGTCCCAGCTGTTAGAGCCTCAAGCCCTCTGGTATAACCTAAAATTGTCTGGTTTTAAAGAGAATATCACAAGAGAAGAGTCTGTGTGGCTGACCCTGCCCTGTGTTGGGCCACTTCCCTTTTATCTCTCTGCATGTCTTTTGGAAAGAAGTGGCTTTGGAGGCAGGAAAGCCAGACAAAAGCCATGCTAGCAGCCCTTTTTTACTGAGTTTAGCTGAATTTGCACACCCTGTAATGGGGTCTCATTATAGGTGAGCTGAAGTCACAAAAGTTTCAGTTGAAGATAAATTATTTGCTTTTCACATTCTTTGTCTAGCACACCCACCCAGGGGTTTATGTGCTCATGGCCTCTCCTCCAGCAGGCAGACTCAGAGAACTTCAACTGAAGAAAATCAAACAGTGCTTTTGAAATAGCTGCAGGTAATTCTGAGGGGGACAAAGTGTCAGACACCCAGATACAGGGTCTGACACTGCACAGTGCAGGGCTGAGGATCAGTCCCCACTCTGACCCACCCAAAGCAATGAACTCTCCTTTCTTACTCTCCATCCAGCTATTTTTCCTGAACTATTTTGTGCACTATCACTTCCTAACAGGGCAAACTACTGATTATACTGTGAACACCTTGATCTTTATTCTCTCACCCCAAAACTGCCTCTTACACCTTCTGGAGGAGAAGAATCCCCTGCCAGGTCTCTGCCAGCCCCACAGACAACTCACCTCTGGTGCACAGGAGAGCTCCTGATGCCATGGCCACTTGCAAAGCCTGAGCCAGCCTGTCCAGAGCAAGTTCAATCTCTTTGGATGCATTGAGAGGATTGAGTTCATCAGACAGTCTGTTAATGTCCTCCACCAGAGGAACCACGTGGTCAAAGGGCACCAGCCCCAGGCGCCCATAAAGGTTTTTCTCCGTTAAATGCCCCTGGAGCATCATAAGCACCTGCAGGACACTCAGATGCAGCTTGGAATAGAGCTGGTGGCAATCCCTGTCTTCTCCTGAAGCTGAGTCCTTGGCAATTTTGCTGGGAGGGTGTCCATTGGAGAGAGAGGCTTTTTTCTTCCTGGTGTAGGCCAGGGGGGCCTTGACGCACCAGCGGATGAGGCCGGTGAGCGGGGTGAGCTCCAGGAAGCCCATGGGCAGGTTGGCTGCGATGGGAGTGTTCAGGAAGGTGATCAGGATCAAACGAGGGTCCTCAAAGATCCAGGAGACAATCAGCTCCAGCAGGTCTGAGGGAGGGATCAGCTCATCTGCAGATAGGAGGGTTAATGGTGGGTAAGCTGAGCCTTTGTTATTTTATTTATTAATTCAGGTTCTAATTAGTCTCTCTCACACTCATCCTACACTGTCCCAATTACAATCTCTGAACCTCCCCAGTTCTGCTGTTTTTCCCAAGACACAAACATGTTCCTGTCACCTTCCCCACCTATTCCAAAGACACCACCAAGCACTGATATTTATCCCCTTTCCCAGCCAAGATTCTCTTGTCATTTTCTTTTCTGCCTATTTTTTTCCCTAATTTAATTCTCCATTTATCCCTTGCCACAGGAAGCACAATGGGCAAGGGAAATAGGAAAAGCTTGCTGGGTGAAGAGAAGGAAGTGCCAATAACTTAACTCATTTATTTTAATACTTACATACCTAAACAAATGTGTCTTGTGGAAAAACACAAAGCAACAACACAATTATATGACATAGAAAGGATTATAGGATTATGTAAAGCTTCAGGTGAGAAGTGAAACATGGTCATGAACTTGACTACAGACAAGAGAAACCCTGACACATCATCCTGTCACAGGGGGAATGCTGCATTGGAAGAGCAAGCTCCCTTTTCCTGTGTGACCAAAAAACAACTCAAATAAAATAAGGGATTTAAAAATTACTTCCTATGACTCAAGTTATTTCCTTTCTGACATGATGATGGGATATAAAATAAGCTCTAAGCTCTACCAAACACTTTATAAAAACAACATAAAGGCTAAGCCTGAACCTCTCTTTCACCCTCAATAATGCCAAGCTGTTTATCTGGAGAAGATAATTTCTTCTCCACAGCATTTCCTTTATCAATAACAGCATTTGCTTTTCTGGATTATAGGTGGTGTTGGTACTCAGTGTATGGCTGTTCTCTGGTCTACCATGAGCCTTCTGTAGCTGAGTAGAGCTAAATCAATCTTATTTTAGACACCTACAAGTGTCTGAGCAAGAAGCTGAGGCAGGCTGTGCCACTGGCAGGTCACACACACAGTTAAAGAGTGCACTGGAGTTATGTTGATTGTGCTTCTCACCACTGCTCCACAGAAATCCTGCTCCAGCCTGCCAACATTCAGAACTTGTTTAACCCCTTTTTTGGAAGGGATCAGACTGACAGGCAACTGACTGAGCCCAGACAGATCAACTTTCACTCCCAGAGCTGCTCAGTCAGCAAGGTCCCATGTCCTTTGCCCTCTGTGGGGGACAACGCCTTTGTGTCAGGTGTTCCTGGCTGCTTCTCCAGCACAGACTCTCCCTTGTTTCCCAGAGAAGCTGTGGAATCCAAATCCCTGGCAGTGCCCAAGCCAGGCTGGACAGGGCTTGGAGCAACCTGGGACAGTGGAAGGTGTCCCTGCCATGGCAGGGGTGGAACAAGCTGAGCTTTAATGTCCATTCCAACCCAAACCAGGCTGGAATTCTGAATCAGCCACAGAGGAGTTATTTTTATTCCCATCCCAGTGCCAGATGAGGCAACAGCCACACCCCTGAGCTTCCTCTGGCAATAATTACATGGTAACACCTCTTTAGGATTCCAGCAGTTACATCTCTTGCAACAGTTCACTCCTGGTGCATGACACTGCAGCTCTCACTTGGAAAGAGGCACTTTTACCTGAGGAGAGGTCGTAGAGAGCTGTGACTGAGGTGATGAACTGGCAGCAGAAGCGAGGGCTGGCAGTGAAGATCTGCTTCAGGGTCTGGATGGAGCCTGGCACCAGGTTGCAGTAATCATCCACCAGGGCTCGGGCCAGCCTCACACAGAACACAGCTGGGGTCCTCTGCAGGGACAGCACAGAGGGGACACACATCACACCTGTCACTGGGTCCCCACCTGCCCCATTGGCACTGCCTTGCTGTGAGTGCTCTCCCTCAGCTCATCAAACACCCACTCTCACAGGAATAAAATCACTGTATTGCAGTATCAAAATAGATTGTGACATCTTGGGTTTATGTCCCAGACATCTTTTATGTAAAATCCTTTCCTTAGGATTTTTCCTCCTGAGAAGCTGAGAGGCCTCAGGAACAAAATGTAAACAATGATTATCTGCTGCTGTGCAATGCAACAGGTGCATCTGTGATTGGTCTCATGTTGGATGTTTGTAATAAATGGCCAATCACAGTCAGCTAGCTTAGACAGAGAGCCAAGACAGAGCCTTTGTAATCATTCCTATTCTATTCTATTCTATTCTTAGCCAGCCTTCTGATGAAATCCTTTCTTCTATTCTTTTAGTATAGTTTTAATGTAATATATATCATAAAATAATAAATCAAGCCTTCTGAAACATGGAGTCAGATCCTTGTCTCTTCCCTCAACCTGAGACCCCTGTGAACACTGTCACAAGTTTACAGTAGCTGTGGCTTCAAACTTAAACCTTTTAGATCAATATTGACTTAGATTTTTTTTTTTTTGCTACTTCAGCAACATTTCTTCCCTGTGAGGGCACTGAGGCCCTGGGACAAGTTGCCCAGAGAAGCTGTGGCCTCTCCAACCTGGTCTAGAAGTGTTCAAGGCCACACTGGACAGGGCTTGGAACAACCTGGGACAGTGGAAGGTTTTTCTTCAATTTGGGATGAGCTTTAAGGTCCTTTCTATCACAAACCATTCTGTGATTCCATGATTCTAACACAAGTCTGTAGTTCAACTGGTTCAGCTGCCATGCCTGATATTTTTGATGTGGAAAATATTCTGTGTAATCCTCACATCACTTAAAAGCTGCCATCTGAAATAAAAATACACCTTGTCCTGCTGTCTAGGTTATGTCGCATCCTGCCCTTCCAAAAACTCTCCATGTGGGAGAAAAGGAACCCTCAGCAAACAGGAGATCTGCCTCCTCCCCCCTTCCCTCCCAGCACAGCCTTTTGCTCCTGTCCCTGTGTCAGCTGTGAGCTCTGCACATCCCACAGGGGCAGCAGGAACAAAGGTGCACTTCCCAAAGCCCTCAGTGGGGAATCTCAGAGGAGATCTCCAACCTCCTGCATTCACAGAAGACAGACACAGGTATTTTGTGCCCAAATTTCAAGACAGGGTTCAAGGTTTGCCTCTTCCACCTCCAAACCTGAACATCAGGAAGGGTTTATTTCCCAAACTCCAGAGTCAGCTTCTTCAGGCACTGTGATCAAGGTTTGCTCCCTGCTTTGGTCAAACCCTCCACTGAGCCCTTTCAATATGCAGGGTTTGGAGGGTTTACTGACAGTAAAAAAACCACCCAAACAATTTTTTTCTTCCATTGCAGCACACGAATGGATTAGCAAAGCTCTCCCTGATGCCAGAGGACAGGAATGGGCACAAGCACAGACATGGGGCAGCTGAATCTGCCAGGGAGGAGAACCTGACTGTGCCCCAGCTCACTGTGCCCACCCTGGAGCACACCCTGAGCCCTTCCCCCAGGCAGCCCTGCCTGCTCAGGAGCTGTACCTGCAGCCAGAAGGCAGCACACTCCAGCACAGGCACCCTGCAGACAGCCACTGCCATGGAGACCAGCTTCCCCAGCAGGGCCATCCTGCTGTCATCTGCTTTGTTCCCCTGGGGGCTGAAGAGAGATGAGAAGATGACCTGCCGGACTGAATCCTTGGTCTGCTCTTGGAAATAGTTGCACATGATCTCAAGGAGCTGGAGTTCCTGAAGTGGGGTCAGTCTCTGAAAGAAAACAAAAGCAAAGCTGTAAAATACACTGAGCCTCTTGAAGGACCAGGAACCAAGTGAAAAGCCAGGAACAACAAAGGCTGAGAGCTTCCCTTTGGCCTGGGGGACTCAATCTTTATGCACAGCACACACATTCAAGCTTCCTGAACCACCAGTGCATTTATGTGGTGACACTGAAGAGCTCCAGGTTTCATTTGAACACCAAAGCTGGTGCTTGCTGCACCTGCAAGTGCTGCCCACCAAGTGAGAGATGAGACTGACATTGCTGGGGGAGGAAATATTTTCTCCCTGAGAGCACTGAGAGCTGCAGGGCCACGTACTCCAACAGCCACCAGCACCTGTGACTTCTCACTGCTCATCTCTGAGCCCCAGCTCCATCCCAAACCCCCCAAACACCCTGGCAGGGCCCAGCTGCAGCACTCGGGGATGTGGGCAGTGCCCAGGGTCCCCGTCACACCTGGAATCCTGGGCAACCATCAGGGACTGGCCAGCAGCCTCCTCCCTGCCAAAATCCTCAGTCAGCAGCACCCCAGGGACCCGGGCTGTCATCTTGGGGCTTTAGCTTCCAGCAGGAGAGACCCAGGGACCGAGTCCTGCCCATCTCAGCCCGCAGCAGCAGAGCCTCGGGGACCCATTGCTGTCCATCTCAGCCCTCAATCTACAGTAACAGAGCCTCATAGACCCAGTCCTGTCCATCCCAGCTCTCAATATCCAGTAACAGAGCCCCAGGGACCCAGTCCTGCCCATCTGAGCCCTCAGTCTCCAGCAGCAGAGCCTCATAGACCCAGTGCTGCCCATCTCAGCCCCCAGCAGCAGAGCCCCAGGGACCCAGTGCTGCCCATCTCAGCCCCCAGCCCGCGCCGGGGGGATCCTGTCCCGTCCTGAGGCCTCAGGCTCCAGCAGGGATCCTGTCCTGAGCTCCTGGCCTGCCCTCGTGTGTCCCCCGCGCCCCCCGTGCCGGTCCCGCTCCGCCCGGGGTGTCGGTGCCGCACCTTGGGCGGCGCTCCGCGCTCCTTGGGGACCTGGAAGAGGAACTCCTCGAGCAGATCCGTGGGGCCCTTGTCCACCAGCGGCAGCGGCGAGTTCTGCAGCTGGCTGCTGAAGTAGATGTCCAGGTGGTAGAGCACCTCCTTGGCGGCGCTCAGCGCGTCCCGCCGCAGCAGCGAGTGCCGGATGTCGCTCATGGCCCCGCTCCGCTCCCGCTCCCGGCCCCGGTCCCGCTCCACTCCCGGCCCCGCTCGGCGCGGCCTCCCCTCGGCGGCGCGGACGGGAGGGCGCTACGGCGGCCGGGCCAGGACAAAAACGGTCGCGCGCTGCCGCCGCCTCCACCGGCAGCGCCTCCTGGCGGGCCCGCCCGCGGGGGTAACGAGGGCTCAGACGTGAGAGAACCGGGCCCGGGATGGGCGGGGAGCACCTGGGCATGGGGGCAGCTTGTCCTGGGGGACTGAGACAGGCGTGCCAACCCTGGGAGGAGCCTGGCCCTGAGCGGGTATTGCCCCTGGAGGGACACTCTCTTGGCCCTCTGGTGCTGGGGTTGAGCTAAGGGGTCTCAGCATGGAGGGCTGGAGCTCTGGGTGTGAGGGGCATGGAGCTCTGGGCATGAAGGGATATCGGCCCTGGGGGCTGCTCCTTGGGCTGGCTCAGGGGATCCTGCCTTGGGAGAAGCTTGGCTCTTGGCTGTGGGCTTTGGGAAGTGCCCTTTAGTTCCTGCTGCCCTTGTGGGATGTGCAGGAGTGGGGTTTGGCCCCGGGCGGAGGGTGGTCCAGCCCTGGGGGTGTTGGCATGAGAGGGCTCTGATCTTTGTGGGGTCTTGATCCAGGAGTGGTGTTAAACCCTGGGACTCTACTGTGAGGGGGTCTTAGCCTGGGTGGGACAGGATCTGGGGGGACTTTGGCTCTGGAGGGTCTTGGTCCTGGGTCTGGCTCCTGGAGAGTTCCTGACCTGGAGAGGATTGACCATGGAGGGTTTGGCTGGGGAAACCTGGCTCCAGCCTGGGGAGGATGTTGGGGGGGGTCTAGGTCCAGCCTTTATCCCACTGTGGGGAGCAGCCCTTCTCTGGAGGGTGCCTGGCTCCAGAGGAGAGGCAGGCAGGGCCCCCTGAGGATCACTGCACACCTTCTGGGAACCACAGCAGCTGCCTTTGGAGGCAGGGACACCCGCCAAGGCCACTGGGACAGCGCTGTGTGAGTGGCTGGGGTGGAGAGCTGCCACCCCCCAGCACTGCAGGTGACCGCCTGGGGAGGGGCTGGGGATGGGCACCATGGCAGAGATTTTGTTATTCTTTTGGGAATTTTGTCTTCACACCCAAATACCACACTGGGATGGCTCCTACTGGCCCCAGCACACTCACAGCCTGTTGGAAATGTGGGGTGCTCGGTGGGAATGATTTGTGTTGGTGAAATAAACACTTTTTAAGAGAATTTGTATCTGGTGATGACTGAGTTGCCCATGACATGCGTTGGGAAGCTGCTGATCCCCACAAGAGATCTCTGACATTCATTCCACCTTGCAGAGCTCTTGTTGTCATTTTAATCCCTCTCGGCCTTACCTGTGGTGGGAGGCATTGGCAGAGGTTGAAAGAGCTCTTTTTTCACTGAGCAGCCCTTTGCTTCCGTGAAAAATGCCATATGGAGCCTGCGGCCTCACATGATCCTTGGCTGGGCACCCACCTGGCAAGGAGAGAGTGTCCCTCTCCATAAATGCAGGTGCAGATCCTTCCCCCTCCAGAGCCCCTGGACGACATCAAAGGTAGGTCCTGCTCTCCTCTCTTCCCACACCCCCAGGGGCTTCCCTTGGCAGTGTCACCTCCTCCAGCACAAATTCTACCACAATGCTCGGCTGGGCCAAACCTGGGTGCAGCTCAGGGGTGAATGTGCTCCTTGCAGGTGCCTCTGCCTGGGAGGTTCAGAGGCTGCTGTGCTCTCCAGAAATGGGGAGGATTTATGGGATTTTGGGCAATTTTTGGCATGACCAAATTATGGCATTGCTCAATGGCTGCATTATCAACTGAAGGGACTGTGGTGTTAGAGGGAAGAGTTTGGAGCAGGAGTGCAAGTGGGAACAGTGAGGATTTAACTAGAGCAGCTGCCCCAGAAGGAAAAGTGAGCCTGAGGCCAGCAGATCCTTCCTCAGGCTCAGATTTGGTGTGCCAAACCTGGAGCATTTGCCCATCCTCTCAGCCCGTTTATCAGGCTCTGGGTGAGTTCAGGCACTCAGGAGCCCAGGCTTGGGCAGGGCTCAGGGCTCGGATCTGGTGAAACATTAGCCCAAGGCAGTCGAGTGCCAGGGGAAATCCTTCCCAAACGCCTTCCCCGTGGGTGGGAGCTGCAGCACTGCCTTTGCAGAGGGTCCTGAGGGAGCCAGTTGGGTGAGGATGGGGCAGGGGCCCTGCTGGGTGAGGATGGGGCAGGGGCCCTGCTGGGTGAGGATGGGGGGCAGGGGAGGGGGAGGTTACCCAGGTGAGGATGCTCCAGGCAGTGAGGAAGGTGGGGAGGGTGCCAGGGAGGAGCTATGCCGTGCCCTGTCCCAGCACAGCTGCTGTAGGGTCTTTGGGGTCTCTGGCACAATCCAGAGAAAGGTGGGAGAGGCACAAGCCAAGGGATTTTGGGTTCCCTGGCCACTGCTACCAATCCCAGGCCAGAAGAGGTGTCCAGGCTGAGCTCTTCCTCATGGGGAATGAGGAAGTCACTGCTCTGTGTCACCACTAAAGGGCACTTGCTCGCTGGCCAGGGAATTTTCCACTCCAGCCTTGTGAGTGAGGCCCCATGCAACAGAGGTACAATCCCTACATCCTGGTGGTTCCCCAGAAAACATCTCCCAGTGGAACCAGTATGGCCAGTGGGAATACCCTGGTTATCCCTATTGTCCCAAATCCCTCTCTCAGCCAGGAGGGCTGAGCCCCTCCTGCCTCTATGCACAGGATGGCAGCCCCGAGGTTGGTGCTGTCACTGCTGGTCGCAGCTCTCCTGCTGCACGTGGCCACCACGCTGAAGATTGGTGCCTTCAACATCAGAGCCTTTGGGGACACCAAGATGGCCAACCAGACCGTCGCAAACATCATCGTCTCTGTGAGTGCAGGGAGCAGCAGGCCTGGACGTGCTCTGCTCTCTGGGGTGCAGCCAGCTTGGGCAGTGGGACACCCGCTCCATCCATCCATCCATCATCCATCCATCCATCCACACATCTGCTCTTCCCCCATCACAATCTCCCACCTCAGGCCATCTCCACCCTTGCAGGTCCCCAGTCAAGGCTGGGTGAATTTGCTGCTGCCCAGGTTCCTCCCCTGGAGCAGCTGCTGGGTAGGTGGTGGTGGACACACAGGGCACACCAGCACCGGGGTCCCCTCCTTGGCCCTGAGGTCCCTGCTGCCCTCCCACTGCCAGCCTGGGAGCCTCTGCTGCCCAGAGAGGCAACCCCAGAGCAGCTCCTGGCCAGGGGAGAGCAGCTCTGAGCTTGTCCCCCCAGATCCTGTCGGAGTACGACGTTGTGCTGGTGCAGGAGGTGCGGGATGCCGACCTGAGCGCTGTCAATGACCTCATGGAGCAGCTCAACAGGTGACCCAACGGCTTGGTGTGGGAGTGACTGCAAAGGGGACTCTGGGGTGGATTCCAGCCCTGCCAGGGCACCTCTGGCTCAGCTGGAGAGAGCCTGGTGGATGCTGGGGAGCACCAGGAGCCTCCTCTCACCCTCTCCATAACTTGCTCCCAGTGCTGGGAAACACCCCTATGACTTTTTGATCAGCGTCCCCCTGGGTCGGGGCACCTACAAGGAGCAGTACCTCTTCATCTACAGGTAAGGGATGCTGCCAGGTGTCACCTGCTGCCCTCCCAGCAGCCCCCAAAGGGGATGGGTACCTCTGGGGGCCCAAGCTGTGGCAGGAGCAGTGCTGGGGGCTGCCCTGCTCTCCTCCTTCAGGTCAGACATGGTCTCCGTGCTGGGAAGCTACTACTACGATGATGGCTGTGAATCCTGTGGGACCGACACCTTCAGCAGGGAGCCCTTCATTGTGAAGTTCTCCTCACCCACCACACGTGAGCAGAGCCCACCTTGGGGGATGCCCAGACCTGGCACAGGGTGCCCTCCACGCAGGGCTGAGCCCAGAGCTGTGCCTGCTAAGTACAGGGGGGTTGCAATCCCTCACCAGGGTCCCACCCATGGGTGCCCAGGGGTCCCATGTCCCTGCCCAACATGGCCAGAAACCCCTGCTGTTTCCCACCATGTGCCATCTACCAATCATCTGCCATCTCCCACCATGAGCTCTCTCCAGCTGTGTGCCATCTCACATCTCCAGCTGCTTCCCACCATGTCCTGCATCCCATTATAGGCTACCTCCCATCTTGTGCCATATCCCACCACCTGCTTCCTCTGGCTGAGTGCCATCTCCCGTCATGAACCATCCCCTATCACCTGTCATACCCCATCCCTTGTATCTCTCATCATGTCCCATTTCCCACTTTGTTCCACTGCCTACCCCATGCCATCACCTCCACCTCCTGAGAACCTCCTCAGGGCACACACACTATCCCATCTCCTGCCCAAAACCATATTGGCTTGCAAATGCTAATGGAAAACAAGCAGCAAACCCCAAACAATGCACCAAGGCATGCAGCTCCCCACTGGAATTTCCAGTCTGAGGGACAGGCAGAGCACCAAACTCATCACACCCTTTCCCTTCAGCTGCTTTTCCTGGCCATTAGCTGGGGCTTGGCCTGGGGTTGTTTCCTGGGGTTCCCATTCCCTGCTCAGGACTGCACCAAGCCAGGGGCTGATGGTCAGCTGTCCTGCAGAGGTGCAGCAGTTCGTGTTGGTGCCTCTGCATTCGGAGCCCAGCCACGCAAGACAGGAGATTGACGCGCTTTATGATGTCTACACCGATGTCATCAACAAGTGGGGGACAAATGTAAGCTTGGGGAGCTTGGGGAGCCTCCCCAGGGCAGCCAGGTGGGCAGGTGGGGTGAACATGTCCCACAGTGTGACCATGTTCACAGGGGTTCTTGGACGAGGGAAGAGACGAGGATCTGACTCCATGTTTCAGAAGTTTTGATTTATGATATTATGATATCAAAACTATACTAAAAGAATAGAAGAAAGGATTTTATCAGAAGGCTAGCTAAGAACAGAAAGAATGATAACAAAGACTTGTGGCTTGGACTCTGTCCAAGCCAGCTGGCTGTGATTGGCCATTAATTAGAAACAACGAACATGAGCTAATCAAAGATCCACCTGTTGCATTCCACAGCAGCAGATAACCATTGTTTGCATTTTGCTCTTGAGGTCTCTCAGCTTCTCAGGAGGAAAAATCCTAAGGAAAGGGTTTTTCATAAAATATATCTGTGACACCACAGGAGGCCTCTTGTACCATCAGAGCAGGTGCCACCCCAGCAGTCTCCAGGCAGGGAGCTGCTGGATGGCCCTCCTGCCATTCCTGAGGGCTTCTCCCTGCACACTGGGTCGCCTCAGGGGGGTTTTTAGATTAAGAAATCTCCCTCAAGATTTTAGGGAGCCCTTGCACCTCAAAGGGACAGGGACTCAGTGCTGTGCCCTGCAGGACATGATCTTCCTGGGTGATTTCAACGCTGACTGCTCCTATGTGACGAGCTCCCAGTGGCCGTCCATCCGCCTGCGCTCCCTGAGCGCCTGCGAGTGGCTGATCCCCGACAGCGCCGACACCACCGTGGCCGACACCGACTGCGCCTACGACCGGTGGGTGCCGGGCAGGGGGCACGGGGGGCTGGCACAGGGGGCTGACACAGGGAGCACTGAGGGGCACTGACACCCCCCTGATGCCTCGGCAGCATCGTGGCCTGTGGCACCGCCCTGCGCCAGGACATTGAACCTGGCTCCGCCACCGTCAACAACTTTCAGAGGAAATTCCAGCTCCAGCTCAAGGATGTGAGTGAGGGGCTGGGTGGGGTGTGAGCCCACCAGCATTGGGATGTGCCCCACCTTAGCTCAGGGGAGTGTGGGAGGGCTCCCTGTTCCCAAGGGTGCACTTAAGGGTGGCCTGACCCCAGCTGTTGTACTGAATCAACCCTCCAGATCGAACATTTTGGGGTACAGTCTAAATTTTGGGGGTTGGAGTGGAGCACTGGGGTCCCAGCCAGCCATGAAAGTGGCAGTGGGTCCCCATGAGCTCAGGGTTCATGAGTTGACTGTGGTCAGGGTGACTCTGCTCTCTCTCACATGCAGGCTTTGGCTGTCAGCGACCATTTCCCAGTGGAGGTGACCCTGAAAGCCCTCTGAGCCTGTCCCCCACACCAGTGGCTACCAGGACACCTCAGCACACACCTGCATCCCTCGCGGGAGCCCATGCACCGCTGGTGCCAGCCAAGCTGCCCACTGTCCCTGCAAGGCGTCTTTTAGCTCCTGTGGAAGATTTTCGCTTTTTGCTTCCATTAAAAATGAGCCTTTCCTGCATCTGCAGCTCTGGAAGAGAGGTTCCTTCAGTATCCCCAGCAGCCCCTCAGCCCCCTGCCAGACAGCCAGGGAGGTTCCCAGGGCTCCTGCCATCAAGAGACCTGCTCCTATGGGGTGGTGAGCTCTGCTTCCCTCTCAGCTGATGGTGGGAAAAGCTGGAACTCTGGGAAGGGGCTGGGGGCTCCAGGATTTCCAGGGTGCAGGATGCTCTGCTGCCAGCTCACAGGGCCACATCCTGGCAGAGCCTGCCTGGCTGTGGGGCTCTCCCTCAGACACAGGCTGACAGGGCGCTGACAGGGTGCAGGGAGGATGTGAATCAGCTCCCAGGGGGCTTCCCAAGGGGTTTCGGTGCCGACACAGCACCGAGGGACAGGGGACTCATCCCGAGACTGGGTGTGGGGATACAAAACCTGGAGCTGCACGTGAGAGCCTGGCAAGTCCTGGCATGAGCAGCCACCAGAGCCAGCTCTGTTGTCATCCTGAGGTGATACCACGGGCCATGGCAGCCCTCCTGGGGCTACTTTGGGTCACATTGGGGCTCTTCTGGGTGACACTGAGGCTGCTGCAGGGGTTTGCAGCCATCCCCTCTTGCAGTGGCTGGTGGTGCTCACCTGCCTGACCCACACACTGGCCATTTCCTTCTCTTCCCTCTAATTACCCTGTCTGAATCACCCAATTAAGGCCAGCGCCCTTCACCTCCTGCCTGGCCACTGTGCCCACTCTGTGATCCAGGTGTCCCCCCAGATGTCAGCCCCCAAGTCCCACACACCCACCCAGTCCCACAGGGATGCCCCAGCGTTTCCAAGTCTCCCTGTCTGTCCTTTGCTGTGTCAGCACAGGGATGGCTGGGCTGGCCCCACCCCGTCGCCCTGTGGGATTTTTGGTTTCCCAATGTGGGAAGGAGCTCAAAGTTATGTCAGAACCCCCAGGGGGTGTCAGACTCATCCTGCTTTGCTGGGAATAAAGCTGCCTGTCCTGCTGCCAGCAGGGCAGAGGTGCTGCACCTTCAGCCAGGTAAGGACAGCTCTGGGATCAGCGCCTTCAACTGCAGCCAGGTGGGACTGGGATCAACTGGGACGAGTGGGGATGAGGCTCCTTACCCCAGCAGTGGGGGCTGTGGTGAAGTTTAAGGATGTGGAACAGCCTGGGGTGCCTGGAATGCTGGTGGTGGTGGATGGGGCTGGTGGGCAGCGAAGACACCCTGGTGGGGGAGTGGAGCTGGGTGATCACTGGAGCTGAAGAGGCAGGCTCACAGTGGTGAGGCAGGATTTATCTTCATCTGGGAGTGGTGAGCTGGCAGACTGCCCACACCAGCTCTGCAACCTGCTCTGGGCAATGCCCACCATGACATACTGTCACACACTTGGGAAGGATCTACATGTTTTTTTCCTCTACCCCAAACTCAAAATAGTGTTCTGAGTTCATCTCCCATCCCTGCACCCCTGTGACCCAGCATCAATCCTGCAAGAATGGGGACTGTGACACTGGAATTGTCCCTGCTGACTGTGGCTCTCCTCCTGTGCCCAGCCACTGCCATGCTGCGTATCGGTGCCTTCAACATCCAGTCCTTCGGTGACACCAAGATGTCCAACAAGGAAGTGGCAGAGATCATCATCAATGTGAGTGCAGCCAGTACATGGGGGTGGGCTGTGTGCTGGGACAGACCCCAACAGGGCTCCTGTGTCAGAGACATGGGGATGTGGCTGAGGACAGGATGGCATCACAGTGCTGGGGATGGCCTGGGTGGATGAAGGCTTGCTGGGGTGTCAGGCACAACCTACAGTCCCTCTGAGCCCTCCCTGGGGACACCTGCCCTACCCCAAGGGACATGCAAGTCCCCATGGTGCTAAAGCTGGAGCCCCTGGCTGGGAGGGCGGCCCTGAGCTGTCCCCCTCGGCCCGCAGGTGCTGCGCCGCTACGACGTGGTGCTGGTGCAGGAGGTGCGCGACTCCGACCTCAGCGCCGTCACCCAGCTCATGGAGCAGCTCAACAGGTACAGCAGGGCTGGGACTGGCATGGCAGCACCAGCAGGGAAAGCCAGGCTGCCTGAGCACTGAGAGGAAAAAAGTTACCCATCAACAGAGAGTTTATTTTTGGGGAAAAAATAAGACATTAGGAGAAATGTGCTGGGGCAAGGAGGAGGCACTGAAAACAGCGCTGAGAATAACCCAGTGAAGGGAATGGGGATTCAAGTGATACAAATCCCTTCTGAAAGCTGTAAGCTCACCAGAGCATGCAGGATGGAAAGGAACTACAGCTCTGGCAAGCTCTGTCTCCAAAATCCAACAGGACAGGGCAGAAGCAAGAGAGGGGGAGGAAGGGACAGGCAGACCTTGGACCCCAACACCCTGTGAGTGGTCAGGGCACCCCAGGATGGGCCCAGTAGTGGACGGTGCTTTGAGGGGGTGGTTCTGGCATCCTAGGAAGAAAAGGGGCTGCTGAGGTAGGCTAAAACTGGCCACAGCAGGGTGGCAGCCCCTCCACCAGCTGGGTGCTGACCCAGTTTTGGGACAGGGCACGGCTCGGGACCATGCAGAAACTGCTGCTGCCGTGTCGAAAGGCAGCTAATGCTCCTGAGCAGGTGTGCCCAGCCCATGTCCTCACCCCTCCCGTGTCCCCTCCAGCGTGGTCACAAAGCAGCCAGGGCAGGGAGGGTGACGCTGGGTGCTGCAGAGCCCCAGGCTGCTCACTGACCTAATTTAGCTCTGCTGCAAATGAAGGGGAGGAATGTCCCTGCAGAGAAAGGGCGGCAGGAGCCACCATGACAGAAAGGACACCCTTTCTGTCATGCTGTGCCCACAGAGCCACCTGGGGGAGAGGCTTTGGGAGCTTCAGAGCTGCTGTATCTCATGTCACCCCACAAACAGGGCACTGCGAACCATGGGCACTCTAGAGCAGGACCAGCTGGTGCAAACCCTGGGGCCACCCAGCCCCTGGACATGCCAAAGCCAATCCAGGACGCTCCCAGCCACGTCATTGTCCTGCCTTTGTGTCTCTGCAGTGCATCCACATCCCAGTATGACTATGAGATCAGTGGCCCCCTGGGACGGGAGAACTACAAGGAGATGTACCTGTTTATCTACAGGTAATGGGGCTGGCAGTGCTGCAGCCTGTGACATGGCACTGCAGGGCCACCAGCACCATGGAGGGGACACAAGGGCTGTGCTAAGTCCCGGGGTCACCATCCTTTTGTTGCCACAGGACAGATGTTGTGTCTGTGGTGGACACCTACCAATATGAGGACCCCCAGGATGTCTTCAGCAGGGAGCCATTCATCCTGAGGGTGTCAGCACCCAGCACCAGTAAGTGGGGGAACAAGTGACCCATGGGCTGTGGCATGGGGTGGCCATGGGGCTGACATCCCTCTCCCTTGGCAGAGGTGAAGGAGTTTGTGCTGGTGCCCCTGCACTCGGCCCCACACGATGCTGTCGCTGAGATTGATGCGCTCTACGACGTCTACCTGGCCATCATCAACAAGTGGGGGACTGATGTGAGTGTCACCAGCACTGGGGGCACACAGAGGTTGGTCACTGAGCCCCAGGGACTGTCTGACCCACACTGGGACCCTGATTTGAGGCCAGCACAGCCGGTGCAGGAGTGGTGGGGTCAGAACCCTGTTCCTGCCCCGTGACAGGGTGGACCCTGCCACCCCCAGGGGAGGGCTGGTGGCAGGAGCAGCCCACCACCACATCTCCCATGTCCCCTGCAGAACATGATGTTCCTGGGGGACTTCAATGCCGACTGCTCCTATGTGCAGCCCGGTGACTGGCCGTCCATCCGCCTGCGCACCAGCGACATCTTCAAATGGCTGATCCCCGACAGCGCCGACACCACCGTGGGCAAGTCAGACTGTGCCTATGACAGGTCAGTGCTGCCACCACGGCACCACTGTCCCCTTCCCTGGCACCCTGGGGACCCCCTGCACTGCCAGCAGGGGCAGCAGTGGCACCCACCATCCACCCACATCTCCCCTGCAGGATCGTGGTGTGTGGCAGCAAGCTGAAGAGAAGCGTCCTGTCCAACTCAGCTGGTATCTACAATTTCCAGCGTGCTTTCCAGCTGGACCAGGAGCAGGTGAGCCAAGATCACACATGTGGGGCTCTAGCAGGCACCAAAGCTGAGCTGGCCCAGGCTGCAGGGCTGTCCTTGTCTCTTTGAGGGGCTCAAAGTGACAAAGGTAGAAACAGGACAAGGGATTTGGGGTCACTGCCTGTCCCCATTAGGAAGAAAGGCACAGGGCTTTTTATTGTCTTCCATGGGCAGGACTCAAGCTCAAGCCAACCTTCAATAACCCATCACTGGCACAGAGCCCCCAGATGAGACATGGGGGCTTGGAGGGCAGGGGGCACCCTGCCAGTGCCCACCCCAAGCCACCTCTCCATGAGAGCCTTGTGTGTTGAGTGTATTGGGGCTGGGGACAGTGTGCCCCCTCCAGCAGGCAGAAGGTTCTGGCAGGGCAACTGACTGCCCAGCGAGCCCCAGCAGCAGACTGAGGGGTGAGTGGCTCACTGAACATCTCCCACCTTTTGCTCTCCCCCAGGCCCTGGCAGTCAGTGACCACTACCCAGTCGAGGTGAAGCTGGCAGCCTGAGCTCCTCCTGCAGCCACAGACCAGGATCCAGCTCCAGCTCCCACCAGCAATCCCCATGAAGGTGTTCCAGCCAGCCCCATCCACAAGTCCTGTGCATGGGCTGCCCCAGACCCCAGTCTGGAGAAGACTGCCATGAACCAGAGCCTGGGACAGGCCACCAGCCAGCACACTGTGACCACAGACAAGCCATGGAACAAAGCATCCATCTCCTACCTCATTGAAGATTTATTGACAA